GAAAAAGGAATAATAATATTAAGTTGTTACTCTGTGAAGGAGGGGGATGGGGGGTGGGGAAAAGGAAACTAAAGAAATTTAATAAATTTGATTTTCCATTTTGCTTTCCAGGGGCAAAACTCAATGTAGAGATGAAATCTGAATAATCAGATAACCCTAATATCAACCCCCAAAATAACACTCATCCTAACCCCAGAAATGCTTTCTGTATCTCTAGCTATTGATAACAACCTAATAGGCACCAGATCTTATTTTATTCACCTTTTTTCCCCCCTAAGTACCAAATTTAGCAAGCTTCAGGGGTATCACAGGACTTGCCTCCTTTTCTTCCTGGGAGCCCTGGTCCAGAACCCCTAGCAGCTTTCCCCTGCAGAAAATCTCTTAAGCCCCCAGATGCCTATGATGGTTTTTGGAGGCTCCAGACCCTTCTGAAAGCTGACATTGGGCTGGCACAAGGAACCCACAGGGATGGCTTCAAGCCTGGCCTGACTATAGTCCTAAACTTCCCCAGAGGATGTGGGTCTGAAGCCATGTGGGAATTTTTGGGAAAGGAGGCAGCTCCATCCTGAAGCCTATCCTATGAAAGAAGCTGACCACCAGGCACCAAAGTGCTGACTGTGATAGTGATTCATGTTCTAGCCTGGAACTTTGGAAATTTATGAATGCAGCCAAATGATTGATTCAGACTGCATTCTTACCGGACAGAACCATTGCATATGGAGTGGGGTCCTTTTAAAAATTCAACTTTATTTTTTGTTTCTTCTGAATTTAAAATAATAATACATGTACAATGATTTAAAAAACCCTCTCACAGTCCAGGTATCTACACAGCAGAAGTGAAAGATTCCAGCTACTCCAAGATGTAAGCTCCATCAGTACATTTTATCTCTCTTTCCAGATCTTTCTTTATGCATCTATAGACATATATCCTCCCTCCCAGTGGGATTACAGTTTATATACTATTCACCAACTTCTTTTTGCACATAGGTATCATTTCATCTCAAATCATAGAGGTCTACCCCACTTTTTAAAATCTCCTACAATAATTTATGTTAAGTATGAACTATCATTTATCTACACTATCCCTTATTGATGGACATGTATGTTGTGTCCAATTTTTGCAATGTACTATAGGCAATGTTAGATTAAATACCTTTCCCCAGTTGTATAGTGGGCCTCTAATATTTGCAATTACTCTTCCCTTAGGAATTGGTTAAAACACCTAACTGGCAACAGCAAACATACATGTGGGGGCATTTCATATTTCTTTTCTTCCCTTTGCAGGCTCTGATGATCCCCTTCTATGTGTCCTATGTACCCTTCACCCCATGCCTATCAACCTGAACCAGAAGGTTGCTTCATATCACGGTCCTGTTACTTTTCAGAATAATTCCCAGAGTCTCTCAGTATTCATTTTCTGAGACATTCTCTGCCCAGTTCCCTGTTGCCTGCTTTCTTCTTTTCCAAATATGACCCAATGTCACTGAGACCTCCAAGAGGCATAGGGAAACTATGTAAACTCCAATGCATTGGGCATCTGGAAGTCTCTCTCTTATTTCTGAGCCTTACTTCCTCTTGTTTCTGCTTCTTTTATGAGTTCAGGAAGCCTTCTCATGCCTACCCCTCACCAAACCTATATAGCCTATCTTCTGGAGGAATAGTCCATTGTGGGTCAGTGTTTGATTGAATTTTGATGATGGAACAGGGAAGAAGTATGATTGAGTGCAATAAATCCATCCATCATTTTTCCCTCTGGCACTACCTCCACATCACAAGACATTCTCAAGAAGCATAATGTCTCATTTTACAGCCCATCAGGCCAGCCTGTCTTCATCACCCCCATCTCCCAAATCTACTGATTATAAGTGCTTCATCTTGCCATGAAAAATTACCATCTCTTTATTCCAGAAACCTGGGAGCTCCAAGTCTCTCTCTCTGACCACTTCACCAACTGCTTCTGTGGTCAGCCTTCATGTTGGGTATGTGAGGCCTAGAGCCCTAGTCCTTTGGGCAGAAAGTGGAACTCCCAGGTTTTCTTATTGTTTAAAAGAACCACCTGGGTCAGCAATGCAAACATGGTGCCTCTTCCTGTTCAACGTAGTGGCAGCAGTAATTCAGGACTTGCTGTTTCATCATTCCATGCCCACTGGCCTATGACCCAGCCTCCTCCAAGCTTATGTCCTCATTTCTGGGGAAGGATGTCCACTGAAGAAAAGTTAGCATGAGAGAACTTTAAGATATATTGTGCCAGATAAGAAATTGAGACACATAACTTGGGAGTGACTCTGGATTGGTCCAAGACACCAGGAAATCTCTTCATTCAACCACCAGGCAGTAAGATGAATTATGGCAACATCCTGTTGAATAGTCTTCTTTAGCAGCATTTTATTATTACCACGTAGGTAGACAGTCACAGCAGTTCATCTTCTCAATCCTATTCTTCACAGCAATGGACAAGCAGAAGCCCTTTTCCTTCTCTTCCCCTCTTCTTCCACCCAGCTGCCTTTGAGAGTAGTCCAAAAACCAGAGACTGTCCTGAGTTATCTCATTTACTCTTTCTGACAACCTTATGACATGAAGTATTATTCCTCCACTTAAAAAAGAGAAAAAAAGTCTCAGGAAAGATGCATGACTAAAATCTCACAACCAGTAAATAGTGGCCTCAGAATTCAAAGGTCAGAATGACTCCAAATCCATGTCCTTCTTCACAAAATAGACTGTGACTGAGACGGGAACATTCTAATTATGTGCCCATTCTTATGTGCCAGGGTTCATTGAGGAAAGTTTTCCAATCTAGTAATTTCCAAAACTCAGGAAAACAACATAATTAACTAAAAAATAGGTTTTAAAAGTCTTGAATGTTTATACTTGAGAAAGCTCATATTAATTAGAGGAGGTAGAAGACACAGAAGATTTTTGATACTATTTTAAAAGGAATTTGAATTTTCAAGGGTTTTAGAGGCCAACACGCAGGCTTTTTTTGTTTTAGGTCTTAAATTTTTTATTGTGGAAAAAAATTCCTAAAGGAATATAAAACATGAATATGTACAATGCTGGTTAAAAAAAAAGAAAATGACCAGCACCTAGAACACTTCCCCATCAGACAGCACCTGCTCTTTGTTATGTCCACATTTCTGCAGTATGGACATATTTCCTTTTCCTTGATACTGTCAGGACTATTTCCTACTCCTTGACCTTAATTGGAATCATTCTAGTGATCCATGGAAGAACAAATAGAAAACAATTTCTGTAGCAATAAGGCAAGAACTTGAAGAAAGGGAAAGGAGATGACTAAAGAGGATGGACAGATATTTGTGAGAAAGCTGTTTTCTGAGATGGAATGAATGGAATGAAAAGGGGGGTAATGTAGAAAAAGGGGGCATGTACTTTGGAAAGAAGAAAGGATGTGCTGGTGAAGGGATATATTGGACAGGCTCCCCCAGCCCAAACTCTGGAGCCATTGTACCATCAGTTGGAGGTTAAGCTGTTCTTTGGAGCAAGTGAGGAAGGAGGGAAAAGAAGAGCAACAGGGGTGTGAGGGTGTTACAGAACAGGGCCTAGGGATGGGGGCACGATATACTATTACCAAAAGGACCCCCTAGGTTTGCTATGCCTGCTGCCAGAGGAAAGATGACTCTCAATGCCAGAGATTTGTGGAAAGGAATGGAAATGTTTATTTAAGGGTATACAGACTTAAAGTAGTGACCTAATATCTTCCTTAAAATATTAAAGTTCTTCAAGATACCCACAGATCCACACAGTCCTCCCTCTGCCCTAATCTGGGGTACTGTATCTCAGGAAAGGAAGACCATGACTTGGGCTCCCGGCACCATCAGCTGTGTCGCTGGCCAGGATTTCCAGTTAATCCCAAGTCATGGTGGCACCTTTTCATGGCTCACCAGCAAGAGTCCTTTCACCCCTTTTCTTCCTGGCAAAGTTTCTCCTGCTTCCTAAGCCACGTGGCAAAAGGGAGCACCCCAAAGCCACGTGGTCCTCACTCTCGCCAAAGCTGCAGGGGTTCTCTCCTACCAAAGCTGCGGGGGTGCCCACTTTGCCAAAACCACGTGGTTCTCTCTCAATGGCAGCCGAGTCTGGGTTTAAATCCCCAAGCCAATCTTCCTCTGCACCCCCATTTTCAGCTCCTCCTACAATCACTTACACCTGCCAGCATTCCTGTATTATTCCAAGTTTACTGGGCTGCCATTACGAGCTTGGACAGGTATGGCCCCATGTCATGGAGCAAATCTTCTCCAAGCTCCCATGCAGGTGCTGTAACCAGGGGGAGCTGCCCCCCAGTTACATCTTGGGTGGAAGTCACTTCCATTTCCCTGGCTCAAGGCATGGCCACAGCTATTTCACATATCTATGCAACCAGTTAAAAGTTATAGATTATGTTAAATGACCATGCCAGAAATTAGCTGCAAAGCTGTTGCTGTACAATGCAGCTCTGTATGTTCCTGCTCCATGTGTCCCTTCCCCCTACTCACACCTGGGGAGGGGAAGGAGTGAGAACATCCTATATATCTTTCTAATATTTCCTGGACACCTTGAGTTCTGGACCCCATTCCAAATCCCTATTTGGGGCCCCTGGCTGAGCTGCACACTGTTACAAAGGGAGAGGGCATTTGGAGATGGACACTGTCACCCACTTAGTCACCCTCTGGGAGACATCTCTTAGGCTGAACATGTGAGTGTTAACAACTGCTCTGTTCTAAATGGAAAGATTAATTTCCAGGCACCATTTTGTTGCTGGTATTTTTTTGCAGGGTAGGTAGGTTGTTTTAACCATGGTATCTGAAGTACTCCTGAATGTTGAAGCAAGGAGGCCAGGAACTGAAAATACAGTCACTGGAATCTGATTAGTATCTTAGCAGAAGAGTACTGCAAATGATTTAGTATAGTCTGGGAAAAACAAAAAGGACTCATAACTAAGCTTTATTATAAATTTTATTTATTTAGATTATGACTACAGTTCATATCACTCTTTTTTTCTTCCCCAGGAGCCTTGCAAACAACAATCTCCAGACGCTCCCAAAAGATATTTTCAAAGGCCTGGATTCTTTAACAAATGTGTAAGAAGATCTACAAAACCAGTGATTGATTATTTCATTCATTTGCAATAGTTAACAAAAAAGCCTATTATTCATAATTAAAATTTTTAATTGGCTTTAAAATTAAATTAGAATTTAAGAATTTAAGTTGGCTTGAATTTTAAATTTAGTGGGGCTAATGTTTCTCTTCTATGGTATTTACCACTGGAATTTTTGAAAATATATTGCCTAGGCAGTCCTTTGACAAAGTGTGTGTCTGTATGGGAGGGGGTGATAACAAGGGACTTTCAGGGGGTGGGAAGAGGAGGCCCAGATAGAAATCTGGGGGTGCCTTTTTCTCCCATGAAGTCCAGAAAATAGGACTACAAAGGAACAACATAAAGGCGTCTGGGAAACTGACAGAGTAAAGATGAAAGGTTACACCCATGGGTTGGTCAGTCAACAGAGAAATGGAGCAGGAAGTGGGGGAAGGGAGAAAAGTTTGTCTTTTCTCTCTGTTCCACTGAACAACAACTCTAGGCTTAATCCCCAGGAATTTGGCTTAAGCCCCAGGAAAGGAATGAACTTAATTATTTTTGACCCCTTTTCAAACAAAAGAGCTTTCAAACTTTGACTTTAAGCCTCAGAGTGAAAGATCTTTGTAAGGAATTTGTATATTCTGCTGCAAGCAAAGCAAGTAATATATGCCTAACCCTCTCAAAATCAATTTAGCTTCATTAAGTGCTTTCCAAAACATCAGAAAGGTATTTAAATGCCATAAGGTATTTAAGGAACAAATGAAAGGATCTATGAAAACAAAGGATTTCTTATTATCAGGTACTTTGCTGTAGACTATTCAAAACAACTTTTCTCCAATAACAAAAAAATCTAAGTCAAGTATTTTCTCCTAAACCCAGTATTTAACTTCAAATCAGTAAGCTAATGAAAAACTTTCTTTGTTCCTTGTAGTATTCCCCCAGTCCCTCCTCCATGCCTTTTACCCCAATTCCTGAATGCCAGGATCAGGACACTTCTAAGAAAGTCTCCAACAGACCACAGCTACCTATTCTGGTTTACAATAGCCCAGAAAAGTTGATTTATTATTCTGGGTCAGAATATTCTTAGGACATGAGGTCAGTATTGGGACTGTCTTAGAAGTTAGATGACACTCCATGGCTGACTTGTAGATACAGTTTATTTGGGAACCCTTTGACTTATCCTGTGTCAGCCTGTACCTCACACTAACAAAAAATAAGATAAACCCACTTGAAATTTTCTATCTCTCCAGGGAATCCCATAATGGGTTTGGTATCTTGGGCCTACTTTGATGTGCTCAAATCAAGAACTATCTAAGAAGCACAAGGATCTATGCCAACTTGCGTTTTAGAGGATTTCTTGGTTTTCTTGACTATGTCTCCTAAAAAAATTTTTAAACTTTAACATTTAAAAATTATTTATATGCTATATGAAAAGTAGGCAGTAGCTGTCTTAGGAATTCTGTGTGATGAAGAAGGGTTTTAGGAAGGAGATGGAATTTATGAACAAAAGCAATGCAAATAAACAGAATTTGGTGAGTTGGGATTACATGTGGAAATTTAAACTATCTAAGCTGTATAGTCTATTATGAAGACAAGCTATTGCATGTCTGCATTAACTCTGCTGTGTCAAAGTCATTTCCTATTGAAATTGAATTTGTAGACCATAAAACAAGGTCAGGATTAATTATGTCTGTGAGGAAGAAGAAAAACAAATAGCTCACTTGATCTAATTAAATATAACACAATAATCACTACATGCTCTCCTCTAGACCTGTGCTGTCCAATATGGTAGCCATACCACACATGTGGTCACTGAGCACTGGAAATGTGTTCCTAGTGTACACTGACTTGTAAATTTTACTTAATTTTTAAGAAATTAAGTAAAAAACTAAATTTAAATTTAAAAACTGGTTCTTAGTTCGGTTATTGGAAGTTTTAAGTCAGTTTGCAACAACTTGGGTATATGAATCTATTTCTTTTATTTGGAAATATTATTAAATCTAAGAACAGATCAGGTATTTCTGATAAAAATTTAGCATCCAAAATGAGATATGGCATAATTATAATATCTACATTTGACTTTAAAAACTTAATATAAAAATGTAAAATATTTTGTTGATAATTTTTATAATGACTAAACATTAAAATGAAAATATTTTGTATGTGTTGTGCTAAATAAAATATACAATTAAAATTAATTTCACCAGTCTCTTTTTACTTTACATTAAAAAATGTGCTTGTAGAAAATTTTAAATTACATATGTGGTTCACATTATATTTCTATGGACAGCACAGCTCTAGACCCAGCTACCTTTGAACCCAAGAGGGAGTACGTTATAAGGTTCCTTTGACTGGGGTGGCCTGCAAGGGCACTGTGGTAACTCAGTCCAGAATGAATCACTCAGGTTCAAGGCAGATTTTGGGGCATTTTGCACATAATGATTATGCATCATTATGGACATGTTAATTGTTGAAATAGAAGACATACTTGTGAAGGTAAGACCCTCACAGTGCAAAAGAAGCTGAAGTTTGTCTTTCAGGGACCTGAGAGGGAATTCATTTAATTGTGACTGTAAACTGAAGTGGCTGGTGGAGTGGCTAGGCCATACCAATGCAACAGTTGAAGACATCTACTGTGAAGGCCCCCCAGAGTACAAGAAGCGCAAAATCAATAGTCTCTCCTCCAAGGACTTTGATTGTATCATTACAGGTAATATATTCCCATTCATTCCACTTCCTAAAATTAAAAGAAGGCCTTTATTTTTCACATGTGCAGGAACTGATATTTTTATGCCTTAAAAAACCAACTAAGCAATTTAATTTTTAAAATATTATGAACCATTAAAACTTCATGTGTTTAAAAGCAAAGTAAAATTGCCATTTTACTTTTCTAAAATAAATGCATTTGTTATAGGTGTTTGAGATGTAGCCAACGCACTAGGCATTAGAACACAGTTACTCATCATCGCTTCTTATTTTTGCAGAATTTGCAAAGTCTCAAGACCTGCCTTATCAATCACTGTCCATAGATACTTTTTCTTATATGAACGATGAGTATGTAGTCATTGCTCAGCCTTTTACTGGAAAATGCATTTTCCTTGAATGGGACCATGTAGAAAAGACCTTCCGGAATTATGACAACATTACAGGTATGAGAAACCTAATCGTATTTTGAGTGAAAAGTTACACTGCTTGGGCCAAAGGCAAAAGGAAAAGATGCCTGATATTAGGCAGGTTTAGAGACATTTGAATACCAACTCTATCATTTACCAAGTGACTCAGAATTGTTTCCTAAACCTTAATTTCCTTACTTGTAAAATTGGAATAATAATACCTAACTCACAGGGTTGTTAAAGATAATGCAATCATATGTTCAAGAAATTTAGCATAGGATCTAGTTTAGTAAATATGCAATAAAAGATGGATGATTTTTTTCCTCAAAAAAAAAGTGTTGGATTAGGACTCATGAGTTCAAATCCAAGTTCTGCCACAAACCAACTTGGTAAGCCACTCACTCTCACTGGGTCCTTCTTTTCCCTAACTTTAAAATTAGGAGGTTAGCCCTGGCTGGTGTAGCTCAGTGGACTGAGCGCAGACCTATGAAGCAAGAGGTCACTGGTTCGATTCCCAGTAAGTCAGAGCACATGCCTGGGTTGCAGTGGGAGACACATGAGAGGCAGCCACACATTGATGTTTCTCTCCCACTCTTTCTCCTTCCTGTTCCCTCTCTCTAAAAATAAATAAATAAAACATTTAAAATAAATAAATAAATAAGGAGGTTATTTTAGATCAATGAGTCTCAAACTTTGTTGCACAAATATTACTTCTGTAAAACGTTGATATATGTTTAGATAAAAAGGTTTTGTAGTCCAGTAAGTCTGTGAACCATATCTCCCTCTTAGAGATTCATAGTAATACACATTAGAGGCTCTGAGAAGTTCTGCTGTGAAAAAAACAAACCTCTTTCTGGTATTTTTTGCATTTAATTTGACCATGGAAATCTATTTTTTTCCATGAAAACTTTTACTCAGATGATTTCTTGGGTTTTTCCTCATTTCAACAGCCTGAAATTTTTAGTCATAAATTAGAAGATGGGGCGCTCTCTGAAATGTTTACATCAGTTTTAGTTTCTAATACCTTTAAACTTGCTCTGAAAAGCTCATAGACAAGACAGACAGGTTCATAATCAGATTTTGTTGGTGGTCATCCAGCCTTATTGCTCAAAGGATCAATACAGGTCTGGGTCTTGCTTGAGACTGAGGTGGTCAGATGAAGGACTCCCCTTCAAACTGAGACCCTTCTAGAACTTTCCTTCTTTCTCAAGGAAGGAAACTCTGCTTCTCTTTCTCTCTAAGCCCCCTTGGTTTTCCAATGGATTAGAGCAGTGCTTTGTGTAGTCTAAACAGGTTCTTCTTACCTGTTACAGTCCATCAATTATTTGGAATGAATCTTTAGATGAGCACTTGAAAGAGAAATGAATCATATATTTGCAGATTTCAGAATGCATCATCTAGTATAAAATGACAAATATGTGTCACATATGGGGTCACCATCCCTTTCCTCACCCCCAGACAGACACTGTTAATCTACCATGGTGCTCTTTCTTGCAGAGTGCAGACATGGCCACAGAATCCTTCTCAACACAGTTCTCCGGGCAGTCACTATTATCAATCAGGCAATCAATATGGGTACCTAGTTGAAATCTAGTGGCCATCCCTGATTGAGTTTCAGTACTCTTTGTACAGAAAACCGAATCCTGGAAAACCTAAGTAATTTTCCAGAGGTTGTACAATCAGTTGAGTCCTGAAAACGGTCACTAATAGAATAATATTTGCCTATGAATGGAGCCAATTAGGAGACAGAGTTGATACAGCACTTACTGCCCCCTGTGGCCTAGAGCCTAGATTTGCCCTGTCTCTCTTTGGATTTCCTAGAGCCATGCTCCCTCTAGGAGATCAGAATCTATTAAGAAATATTAAGCTCTTTGCAAAAAGATCCTGAGTTAGGCCATTGACAGACCTCATGCTGTTCTCTGAGATCTCCCAAAGTAACTTTCACATGATTGGCTCTGTACCCCTCTTTCTTCTTTCCTGCCACCAGTGACATGAAGATTCAGAAAAATGACAAGTGACATTACTTTCCTTTCTCAGGGGAAAGTCAGGTTATTCTAGAGCAAAAAGCAGTTTACACTTAGAGCAAACCAATTACTGGTGGAGCTGTGGGCTGCCCAGACCATCACTCAAAACTTCTAGAACCTTGTGGGATCCCAGTCCAAGATGGAAGCCCTGAAACGTCTAATTATCAATCCCGTAGCAATGCTGGTAGGGCTGGGTTTCAGTCCCACTCTGCCTTCTCCTAGCAGCACTGAACCTCTCCAAACTTCAGTCTGCTCATGTGCAAAAGGAATTTTTGCTTGTTGGGAAATTTTAATGAAGATGATTTGGCAAAGTATGTAATAGGTGTGAATAAATGGCCATTTCCACTACAATTACAAAGATTAATTCGTGATGTGTTAGGGAAAGCAATGCTTTCTTTTTGCATGAAACAAGAGAAAACTCAAACTATAGCCATGTGCCCTGAAAATCTAGTGTGGGTTGGATGTGACAGGACAATGTTTGTACATTCAAAAGAGGGTGACCATCCAACTAATCTCTCATTTGTTTTTTCCCAGGCACGTCCACTGTAGTATGCAAGCCTATAGTCATTGAAACTCAGCTCTATGTTATTGTGGCCCAGCTGTTTGGCGGCTCTCACATCTATAAGCGAGACAGTTTTGCAAATAAATTCATAAAAATCCAGGATATCGAAATTCTCAAAATCCGAAAACCCAATGACATCGAAACATTCAAGATTGAAAACAACTGGTACTTTGTTGTTGCTGACAGTTCAAAAGCTGGTTTCACTACCATTTACAAATGGAATGGAAATGGATTCTACTCTCATCAATCCTTACACGCATGGTACAGGGACACTGATGTGGAATATTTAGAAATAGCCAGACCACCACAGGCACTCAGAATGCCTCATTTAATCCTGTCCAGTAGTTCCCAGCGCCCTGTAATTTATCAATGGAACAAAGCCACACAACTATTCATTAACCAGACTGACATACCTAACATGGAAGATGTATATGCCGTAAAGCACTTCTCAGTGAAAGGTGAAGTGTACATTTGCTTGACGAGATTCATTGGTGATTCCAAAGTAATGAAATGGGCAGGCTCCTCCTTTCAGGATATTCAGAGGATGCCATCACGAGGATCTATGGTGTTCCAGCCTCTTCAGATAAATAACTATCAATATGCAATTCTTGGAAGTGATTATTCTTTTACTCAAGTATATAACTGGGATGCAGAGAAAGCCAAATTTGTGAAATTTCAGGAATTAAATGTTCAGGCACCAAGATCATTCACACATGTGTCCATTAATAAACGTAATTTTCTTTTTGCTTCCAGTTTTAAGGGAAATACACAGATTTACAAACATGTCATAGTTGACTTAAGCGCATGACACACAAATTCTGTGGCTGCCACCAGAAACTTTCTATAGTACATGGTCCGGATGAACTCAATGCATGATGACTTCTTATCACACTTGCAAATGAATGCCTTTCAAACATTGAGACTGCTAGAACCCAGCACTATCAGTATCTCCATCCTTAACTGTCCAGTCCAGTGGCGTGGGAAGTTACCTTTTATAAGAGAAAATTGAATTGTGTAACTGTTCTTTGCAGTGAAGATGTGTAAATAAGCAGTTAATGGTATCTGTTACTCTAAAAAAGAAATATTAATATGTACTTTTCCATTTATTTATTCATGTGTTCAGAAACAACTGCCAAATAAAATGTTTACATTTTCTTTCATATCCCAAAGGTAATTATTTACAGGAATTTTTTTTTCTTGGCAATAGTGTGTTGAGGAAATAGTTTTATATAATAGGGTTATATCTGAATCAAGAGTTTATGCTGTGAATAATGAGTGATAATGAAACACTGATATTGGTTATCTGTAATTTATAAACAGGTTTATTAGCTGATTTTGAATATTCAAAGGTGGTTCCAAAATTTGTGGCTTTAAGGAACACTTTGAGGTAAAGTGGTGACAAAAGGAAGGCAGAGAAATTTGCTCAATACAAGACTAATTTGAAATAAACGACAGTAAGGCCATCCTTTCCTGTCCAATAGCTCCAGACACAGCAATCATTCGAACAGCTTATAGGAGAGGCTAAAGTCAAGATTCTGAATAAAAAAAAAAACCCATTCAGGGACTTTCTGAATGCCTGACTACAGAATATTCTGAAAGATGATAGAGATTGTAACTTTATAGCATTTGCCTCAAATATACCTGAAATGAAGGCCTCTTAATCTGACCAAGGATGCTTCACGTCTAGAGACCCATTTTGATCTGTTACTGACATGCTGCAGAGTGCCCAGGAGACTCCTATTTGATCTTCTAAATCCCTGCTCCTGGATAACGAAGGTCACTAGACCCTAGCACAATGTCTGTACACTCTGGAGGCTCTCAAAAATGCTTCCAAGGGTACACGTGTGTCCTGTTATAATAATAAACTTTATGAGGCTCTTTGATCTAATCAGTTATTATTTATTGAGTGCTTAATAAGAACAAGATGTTCCTATGGTGGGGGTAGAATTAGGGAAGAGTAAGGCATGGTCCTCGCCCTGTAGAGCCTTAGAAGACTTCTTGGGGGTTTAGGACATAACAGAGTAAGCAGTTAAGTGCCACGTATCCTCTGAACATTCCAATTATAGGTATCATGAGAACATCAGAAAAGTCTTCCTAGAAGAAGTGGTCCTTGTCTGAACTTAAGGGAAGATATGATTTCAAAAGGAGATCAAGGCAGAGACACTATTCCTGGAACTTGGTCCTGTGTGCTGCCTTTACTTGAAGGGATTAGAGCTTCCTCCAGCCCATCATTCCCCAGGGACTTTGACCAAATGCCTGTGGGAAGGTGAGGGCAGGGAGGACAGCAACTCTGCCAGCACACATCTGGCAAACTTTAGGCATCAAATATACACACAATAGTTAATACAGTCTCCTGGAACCAACACCTTGGGGAGTTATGCACAGGAACCAGAGGCTTTTACAGAATGGCACAAATATTCATGCTGACTGACACTGGGATTTTAGTGGAGAAGGCTGACCCAGTCCCGGTCCTACACATAGGGAAGACTAACCTTTGAATGTGTCATTTTTCCGTTCCCATTTCTTAGAAACAGCACGTATGCTGTTGGAGAACAACTGCTTTGTAGAGACAGGGTTTAAATCCAGCCCTTCCATGTTACTGGCTTTGTCTACTCAGCTTTTCTGAGCCTTAGTATCTTCATCTATAAAAGGGCAATAATGCCTATGCCAAAGACAGGGGAAGAATTAAGTGAGAGAACGTACACATGGCCAGTTGAACTTTTAAAATATGATGCGACAATATCTCCCATCCCACATGTGTTATGAGAATTTAGCCCCCATCCCGTCAAGAGGTGGTGCCTAATTCCCATGTTCTTAAATCTGGATGGGCTTGTAACCAACAGAATGTGGAGGAACAAAATGATGCAATTTGACTTTGGAGTCTGGGTTATAAAACAATAAAGCTTTTGACTTGCGAACCTGAACTGCCACAAGGACTTTGTAAAAGTCCTAGCAGCCTGAAGCAACCATTTTGTGAGGAACGAAGCCCAGCCTTTGGTTGACAACCTCAGCTGAGATCCCAGCCAAGAGCCAGCACCAACCACCAGTCATATGAGTGATGTCTCCACGTGATTCCAGCTCCCAGCTGTCAAGTCACCACCAGCCATCAAATCTTCCCAAGGCCCTGGACATTATGGAGCAGAGATAAGTTAACCCCATGATCCTCTGCCTAAATTCCTGACCCATGGTATCTACATGCGTAATAAAACGGTTGTTTTAAACAGCTAAGTTTTGGGGTGCTTTGTCACACTACAGAGTACTGGGAATAGCGCTTGAAGTGCTTAGCACAGAACTGGCACAAATTAGCACTTAGCAAGTGTTAATGGGTTCCACACTCTTAATACTGCATGCTTTAGGGTTGCACTCTACCTTTATGATCTTAATGAAATTCACTGTCATTTTATTTTCAAAGGCTCTCTCCTGTTTTCAATATGTTATCAGCATTCTTACTCTGTACCAGGCACTATGCTGAGCTTAGGGATGCAGAGATTAAAGATTTAGACTCTGCCCTGTTTGTTTTCATAGCACTGACTCTTCAAGTTAGTAAACCCACTCTCTAATTTACCTTAAATCTGAGACTCAGTGATGTGAAGCAAGTGGGGTGAGGTAAGCTAACACTTGGTCCAGTCCTTGGTCCATAACATGGTGCTACCCTTCAAAACCTCCCTCGTCATTTCAAACCTGGGATTGTGGATGGGAGAGAGGTGAGAAGTGAGGAACCTGGCTGAGAAAGTAAAATTTAAAAAGACTAAAGAGGACAGATGGTAGGGTCAACTTTTTGGAGAAATTGACCTTTCTGTGAATTGCCCTCTCCCCCTGCATCCCTCATCTGCCTTGTGTACCATATCACTCTGCCTCCTCTCCAGCCACAGACGACTGGATCTGGAGTGAACCCTGATGCAGGTGTTCAATCCAGAAGCTGAGCTGGGCTCAGCCTGTACCAATTCAGTTTTCCCTCCTGAATATTTAGCATTAGAATAGCAGAGGCTGTGTCATTAGCCACAGGCACCGGAATTGTAAGGTGATGATCTTAAATCAGGTTCTCTCAAAACAAGATTTACTGAGGGAGTGTTGTCTCTACACCTGAAAGGTGGTGAGAGGAACAAAGAGCAGGGGAAATGCTAGGCAAAGATGCCAGTTAAGAGTCTGGCTTCAGTCTGACCCCATGGGGAACTCTAAAGCATGAATTGTACCACAGAGTGTATCCTGTCTTGAAGCAAGGAGGATGGACTCTTATAGCATCCCCCTCCATCTGATTGATATTCAACATCCAGAAAGCGTGAGGCATAACCTCCCAGGCATCTCCAGCAGAGAAGGTTCCAGTTGGCTAAGGGCAATGCTCCGCAGAAGGGTGCACATGTGAGCTGTTATTTACTAGCACCCATGCCAGCTGTAGGATGGGTACTTCTGCCTAGCAAAGGACATGTGGGTGGGATACCAACAGCATAGGCCACAGTGACAGTGACTGAGAAGCTGAAGATACCATTCTGAAGCAGCCATGATGGTCCATGTACTAGATGAGTAGAGAAAGTTGGTCTCAAAAGTGAGAAGAGAATGAAGTAGAAGCTCAGAAAGAAGTCTGAGAGAGGGAAGAAAAGTGAGAGCGGGGAGAGGATAAAAGGCGTAAGAAAGAGGAGAGGGAAGGAGGGAAAAGGGGAGAGAAAAAGGAAGTGGAGGAGGGAGTGGAGGAAGATTGGGAGGTAGAATGTCCCAGGCTGGGTCACCTGAGAACCAGACTCTGAGAAGTTAATACACAAACCTTTATTAGGTAGTACCCTTGAGAGCAACACCTGGAAGGGAGGAGAAAGAAGAATTTGGCAGAAAGAAGCTGAGCTGTGATGCAATTCCCATCAAGGAAACCCTATGGGAAGCTCTAGAGCTGAGATGCCTCTTCCCAGTTGTCCCAAGTTGGAGCAAGGGACCAGGCCTTTATACTTCCATGTTGATGAGTCATTGGATGTAGGTTGCCCTCAGAAGAAAGTATGGCCTTTGATGAGGCTGGTATTTCAGCCAAGGCAATCCGCAAAGAAGGGAGACAGCAGAGGCCCATCTTCTGGCCACAGCTGGACAATAAGCCCTTTATTCCTGAATGAGGATCTGGGTAGTGCAACACAGCACCCACTGCGAAGGGAAAGAGAGAAAGAAGGGTGGGAGAGAGAAAAGGGAAGAGAAGCAGCCTTGATTCCATTTCCTGCTCCATCCCTCATTAGATCCAGTGGCACTGCCTGCAGTTGAATTCTTTGAGGTGCTTTTTCTAATAAAAACCTCCCCACCCTCACACATACACTTTATTTTATTTTAGGTTAGTTTGAGTGGATTTATGTGTGTGCCACAAAATTATCTTCAACTAAGTCAGAATGTTTAGGCATACTGTACTGTAATGTAGATAAGATGGTGAGTATCAGCTTTTTCAATCGCTTTCCTCTCTGCTATTCAGACTGTATAACTTCTATTAATCTATCCTCAAGTTCATCAATTCTTTCCTTTGTCATCTCCAACTTCAAATTTCTTGAAAAAGTAAAATATTATTTCAACTAGATCAGTGCTTCTCAACTTAAAAATTTTTTTCAATGTTTCAAAAGGCTTGGACCATAGACATATAAAAATCTCCAATGTATTTCCATGTGTATTGTGGGAAAATATTTTCAGAAGTTAGAATAAAAATGCATTACTAGAAAAATGATCACATGCTTGGCTATTGTGGCCGTGTCAAACTACTATCAAAGTTTCTAAATGTTTTCTCTCAAGTTCTGTACAAATCTCATCCTGAACTGATTCTAAACTTTCCCTAGACTGGCACTGGTCCTAGGACCACAGCTATGGGTACACTAGACTACTCAGTAAGAGCTTGACTCATTCATCTCAGCTCTTACAGTTATACACCACTCTTAAAGTGGGATGTATGTGTATTTTAATATGATTGCTATCAAGGACAAGGGGCATCCAGGGATAGACCTACAACAGCCTTAGCAAATCCTGAAGGTGAAATTTAAAATCTAGCTCAGCTTTTCCTCACTGCAGTTACCCATACAACTTGATGAGCCCTATTTATCAATGTACCTGCTTCTGGGCCAGGCAGCTCTAGCCAATGGCAGCACTCTTTCCACA